ATTTTACACTTCGATGAGTGCGCTGCAGGATCCCGTGCTTTGAACTGCATTTTCCTGGTTACTGACGGGGTTGAACACCATTCCCTGATTCCTGGCCACTGGGATACCTTCTGCTGGGAAGTGTTCGCTCAGTTCCACGGCATACTGCCTCCCAGGTGGCCAGTCACTTTATATTAATTTGTAGAAACTTATATATGTGTATATACATGTATATTCCTACAAAAATACAGAAGGGGGAGAGAGAGGGAGAGATGTCTCAATTTAATATGCTTCCCATCCACTGCTGACTTTCATAAGCTACTATTTTGTTGAGTTTGTCTGCGGTCATGTTCATGAGTGAGAGTGCCCATAACTTTCTTTTTTCTTTCGTCCTCGATGTCTTTGTTGAGTTTGGGCATCACGTTTTTCTGGCAGGAAACATGACAGGCACGGTTGCCGCTCCTGTCACCTGCAGTCTCTGGGAGAACTTCCGTAAGATCACTGGGATCTGCTCCTCAAATATTCAGCAGAATTCGCTGCTGAAGCCATTAGTGACTGGAGATTTCTTTGTGGGAAAGTTTTTGATGACAGATCGTATTTCTTTAGAGCTGTAGGACCACTCATACTCCTTACTTCAGTTTTAGCAAGTTGTAATTTTCTAGGAATTTTTTCATCTCATCTAAATTTTCGAATTTGTTAGCATGAAGTCTTTCTCTGTATCCTGTTAGTTTTCTCATATCTGCAAGATCTATGTCCCCTTTTCTTGCTGCATATTGCATGTGCCTTTTCTGATTTTTTTTTTTTTTTTTTTTTTTTTTTTTTCCTTAACAAGCATTACCAGAAGATTTAAGAGTTTGGGGCTCTCTCAAAGAATCAATAGTTGACTTCACTGATCTTCTGTTAAAGGTTTATCACGAAGATTTTGCTTTTTCTTCCTGCCTCATCTCAGACATTCCATCCAAGATCACTTTTCTTCAGCCTTAGGAACACCCTTCCTGTAGCTATCGATGCAAACCTCCCAGTGTAGAATTCTCTGTTTTTCTTGCACAAGTATGTCTTTACTTCATGTTCATTCTTGCAGGAAATTTCCACTAGGAACAGAATTCTAGGTTGAGAGTTCATTATTTCTGTTTAGCAGTTAAATTATTTTAGCACTTTGAAGATTGTATTCCCATGTGTTTGGGCTCTTGTATTTCTGTTGGGAAGGAGATGTTAGTGCTACTGCTGAGCTCCTGAAGGTAGAGAGGCCTTCGTTCTCTAACTGTTGACTGTTCTCTTTGTCTTTGGTTTCCAGCACCTTCCCTCTGTTCTGCCTAGGTGCAGTTCTGCATCTGTCCAGCCTGGGTTTATAGCACTTCCTGAATCTGGGCTTTACATCTATTTTACCACTTTTATCTCAGTATCTTGAGATACACCATAAAGTCCACCCTGACCTGGTAAGTGGGATCCAAAAATTGAATCACAGCAAATGTGGGGCCCCATTACCATGAAGTAAGTTAAATACATGTTTCCAGTTACTCGTTCACCTACAAAGTGACCCGGCTCCATGTTGCTGTCCTGGCGTGTGGTTGCTGCATGGCACTGGAAGGTTTGGAAGAGGCCAGGAGGCAGGTGCAGACTTGCTTCATGGGACAGGGTTAGGTGCCAGGTGAGCTGGGGGATGGAGGATGGTCGGGGGTTGCATGGGGCTGACAGGTGAGAGTTTCCTCCCACCGCAGGGCTTCAGATTCCCCACTCTCCTGACTTCCTGCACAGGGTGCTTCAACCCTGATGCTCTGATGGGTGGAACAAGTCCTAAATGGCCATACGGCACCCACTGCCCCCCTTCCCTGAAAAGAACATAAAAGCTTATTAGTACAGCACTTCTAGCAGTTCTGTTTGCTTCTTTTTCAAATCTTCCTCCTTTGGAATCTTGTCTTGTTTCCAGTTTATTCTGTTACGACTCCAGTTTTTTAAAAACTGTACATTGTGCAGTCTCTCTCCAAAACCCTATTATCTCAAGGTCTGGTGGAACTAATTCTGCTGTTTTTCGCCTGCTGCACCTGCTTCGGTGCATTGTTTCCTGGTGAGTTTTGAAACCTTAAACCTCAGGGAATTCTGTGTCCCTTCATAGCTGTGTTTCATTTTCCTCGTCCAGGTGCAAGGCCACACTTGGGTTTAATTGCTTGGCCTGGCACTTCTGAAACCGCAGGTATTGGGGATTCACACCCCAAATCCACCTGCAACCGGGGTCTGTGTGCATCTCAGCACGGCTGCTTTCCTCCCACCCCGAGCCCTGGCCCACCCCGCAGACCCCCTCTCGTCCCTACGCCCCAGCTGCTCTGCTGCAGCAGCGCCCGCTCGCCCCTGCAGACCTCCCCGCGTTCAGCTGTAAATTCAGGATGCTTTTAAAAGAACCCAACTTTTCTCAGCACCAAAGTGTCTCATGTCTCAAATTTTGGCCAAAACTGGACATCTCTTAAAATCCCTTCTTCTTTGATTTTCTATTTCAGATTAAATAAACAGCAGTACTCAAGATAAAACCCAGAGCTCGCCTTAGTCTCTGCCCTCGGCTGGGAAGGTTTCATCCTTTCAAACGCTTCCAAGGCCCAGGCTCTGCAGTGCACCCCGCTCCCCATCTCAGAAGGGACGGAGGCGGGTCCCCCCAGGAGCGGGGTCCGGAACGAGGACGGTCCCGCTGAGTTCCTCCGTTCCCGCTGGGGATGCCGAGCTGTCTGCGTTCCTAGCAGAGACTGTGCAGGTCTCGGGATACTAGCACGAGACGAAGGCGACTCCGGCCGCTGCAGCTCACAGCGCCCCCTGCTGGCCGAGCGTGGCGCGCGCGGAGGGGCGCCCGCTGCGGAGCGCGGTGACAATGACTGGGCACGGACGGGGTGCTTGAGCCGGGCCGTTTCTGCCCAAGGTGACACTGCGCTGGCGAGCGCTTTTGCTGGGGGACGACTCGCTGCTGGCCCAGCTGAGGCGTTTTTAGAACTACAGTGAAGTTGGAAGCTCTTTCTATGCGAAATCCTTCCTGTGTCCTCTCTCTCCTGGGAGTCAGGCCCTCTCTGCTGTTTAGGCTCTCCACGCCGCAACATGTCTTGAGAGCTTAGTCCTACCTTGGAGTCTGCCTCTCAGAGGATCCCAGCAGGGAGTGGCCCAAGAAGACAGGCGCTAATTGCGTTTTGAGACTGGCCAGCCACTGTCTGCCTGGCGAGGAAGAGCCCACTGGAGTGAAATGTGGGACAGGGACAGTCCCCAGCAAGAGGCAGGACGGTCACTGGGGTTTCACTGGTGGTGACACTGGCTGGCGTCCTCGTGGAGGGGAACACCTCTGCCCATCTAATTGTTCAGGACTTGGAGGGTCTTGGGGGCCAGTGCCCATGGGACAGCCACACTGGCTAGCCGTCACTAAGTTGTGCTGTCCCTACAAGGAGATAACAAGAAACAAGGGGGCTGGTGTGCAGTTAGCGTGAGTGTGGGGCTGGGGCTGCTGCAGAGGGTGAGCGGAGCAGAGGGGCAAACTCCAGGCTTACTGAGAGTCGCAGAGCCCTGGAAGGGCCTGGTGCTTAGCCGAGGCAGGTCTGCGCCCTGAGGTCAGGGCCCTGGTAGGAAACCTCGAAATAATGGGACGGGGACACGGGGTGGATGCCTGAGGACACCCTGAATCCTCAGAGCTCACAGAGAGTCCAGCCCCACAAGGTGGCAGGTGCGTCTGTGGACAAGGTGCCGCCCTCCCCCCCGCTCCCACCCCCCAAGACACACTCTGCCTCCTGGCCTTGGTGGGGTAATATAGATTGTTTCTTCTTATTATTAATGTGCTGTCTGAGCCCAGTTTTGAGGCTCTGGCTGGAGGCCACTCAGTTCCCCACTTTGATCAGCGATAAATCCACACCCTAACCACTTCCCTTAACCATCTCTCACACTCCAGGCCACTATGTGCCCACCTTACATGTTCTGCGGCCAATGCCACACAGCTATGGACAGCCCTATGTTGCAGAGCTAGCCAAAATTATTCAGATTAGCCAACCCCCACCCTGCCACTCCTACAGCTCCAGCTGGTGGGTGCCGGCCACCGGGGCACCCCTGCGCGGCCCTACCTGGCAGTCTGCTCTTGTTTCCAAGTGTCAGTGTGCCGTGTCCCACATCAAAAGAACCTTGAGGACAGGGCAGGGTGTTCCCAGAGATGATAGACTCAGAAGAAGCCTCCTGCTTTGAAGTTGGGGAAACTGAGGCCAGAGGAGGGTGGAGGCACAGATCTCAGCTCTGCTCCCCTTTCCTTGCGAGGACACTTCAGGCCCTGTGCCTCCAGTCTCCCCCCAGCACACCCTGAAATTGTCTTGAGAGAGAAATTCCAATCTAGATGCTCATTTATTTATTGGACACCCTAATAAATAAATAATTATACTTCCTCATATTTAAGCCACTGTTACACAAATGCAGTAAAACCATCCTGATCATGGTGTATGAATCTGTAAGAAGTAACTGGATATGAATTTATGATGTTTTATTTAAATTTTTTGTATCCATATACTAAATGAATTAGAGTATTATTTTTTTCATACTCTATCAAAATTTGATACAAGGTTTGCATTTGCTATCCAAAATGAATTGGAATATTTTCCATCTCTATTTTCTGAAATGTTTTGGATAACACAAGAAGTATCCGTTCCTTACCACCTAGGAAAACTCAGCTTTAAAATCATTTGATTTCGGCACCTTTTGCAATGACAATTCTTCATCAAACTTGACAGTTTCTTCCTTTGTCATTGATTTATCCAAATTTTTCACTTACTCAATAACATACCCATATTTCTTCTTAATTATCAAATTCTTGCCATAAAATTGTGCACATTATACAGCTCACTTCATCATTTCCTTTTCTGTAGCTCTGTTTTTATCTGTAGGGCCAAGGGAAAACTTCCTCTTCACCCCCGAAGGTTCATTAATAAAAATCACAGACAAACAGATCGATATGAAGAATAGGCATAAGAAATGGTATTATTTAATGTGGGGGGAAGGGGCAAGACACGGGGCGGGGATCACAAGAGAGTAATGTCCCCATTTCTAATAGGGGTCTGAAGCTCATATACTAGTGTTCGTGTGACCTCAGGGACCAGGTCGTAAAGCCACAGCATCTCCCACTGTGCCTCCCAGGGATCCCTCGCTGTGAGGAAAGCCAGCTGCCACCTTGTGAGGAAGCCCAGGAAGCCCTGTGGAGAGAACCAAGTGACAAAACCTCAGGCCTCCTGCCAACAGCTGGCATCAACTGGCCAGCAACATGCACGGACCATCTCAGAAGTAGATCCTCCAGCCGCAGACGAGCCTTCAGATGACTTCACCCCAGACATTCTTGGACTCATTAAAGAGCCCAGTTCGGAACCACACAACCAGGCCACTTCTAAATTCCCAACCACAGAAACTGTGTGACAATAAATGTTTGTTGTTGCTGTAAACCCCCGAGTTCTGGAGTGGTGTTTTCTGTGATGACAGATAACGAATGCACCAGTGTCGTGTTATTTTCTCCGTCCCATTTATTTTCAGGCCTCCCAGAGGAAAGCAGTCAGTGTGCTGAGCTGATCCTGTCAATCTGATATTTACAAGAACATAGTCCCTTCCTCCCGGTGATGGAGACCACACCAAGTCTCGGGCCCACACCCTGCACAGCTACAACAGCAAGTTTTAATCTAATGACAGATCTTGAGACGCTTTACCCACCTCAGATTCCTGGTAAGTAATGCTTATAGCTTCTTGCGATTTCTAGGAACAAAGAGACTGCATTTTCCCACCTCCTTGATTAAACTCCTGGCGTTTCTCTGATGTATTAGGAACAAACGGCATGACAGTCATGGTTCTTAGTTAATCCATATGTCTTAGGACAGAGGCAAGGGGAGACAGGCTCTGAGCTGAGAAGGTATTTTGAGACCAAAAAACAAAGCAAAACAGAAATGAAGCAGGCATTTTCATGCAGTTTAACAGAGTTTGTTGACGGGTAACGTATACACAGAAAGAACCAGGCAGGGAGTGATGCGGGCGTCCACCCAGCTGCTCTCCACACTCCTATAGCGGAGGAACAGGGGGTTATAAAGGCACTTGAGATGGAAATAGGAGCGGGCCAAAAGGAAGTGTGTCTACAATATGCTGATGTGATCAATCTCTGGATGTCTTGTGACTTTAATTTATATAAAATGTTATGACCAGTGAGCAATTAACATAAGGGGACCACCTGCATCAACAAGAAAGCTTCCATCTTTACCTTAAGTGAGCCTGGTGTTTCAGTCCTTGTCCTAACTGTGCTTGCCTCGCTCCAAGTTATTGGATAACTTTCTAGTAAAAAGCCTGTGGGGGCAGGGAGACAGGTGTCATAGACAGGGCAAGTGAAGCTGGAGGGACCCAAAGATGGAGTCAGTAAGGCCTGCATTCCCACACCACAATAGCTGGTTTATGTGAGGGGGGAGAGTTTTCAGAAGGTTCAGAGTCCAAAATATCCAGGAGGACCAGAGACCCAGGTTCAGATGCTGCACAGCCAAGGTAAGCAGCATGGGGAAGCCCTCAGCCCTCTGGGGACCGTTCCCACTGATGTGAGCAACTCCGTAATTCCTACTTGAGTTGCCCCAGAAACACCCAAGGCCTCTATCTCTTTGCCTGCAAAAGAGCCAATCTCTTGGGGTGTCAGCTGCCTGGGGGTGCAGCTTCCCTCAGCAGCAGCTTTAACAGATCAGCAAATTCTTTGATTCTCCTCCCTGCAGAGGTGGGGTATTTGCCCCCTCCCCTTGAGTTGGGCAGATCAACTGAAGGAAGAGGTAGTGGTGACATGTGACACCTGAGGCTAGGCCAAAAAGGCCACACAGCTTCCACCTGGTGTCTTAGGAGACTCCCTCAGAGGAAGCCAGCCACCATGTGACATGAGTTCAGCCACCGTGAGGCCACCGTGCTGGAGAGACCATGCGTAGGTGTCTAATCGACAGCCCCCGCTGAACTCCAGCCAACAGGCACATCACTGGCAGCCCCGTGGGCACGCCATCTCAGATGTGCAGCCTCAAAGGACCATCTCCTTCCAAATCGCAAATCTGCGCTCTGCTCAACAGAACTTAAGCCATTTGCAGACACTTCCCTGCTAGGCATTCGGGAAATGTTTTTTAGCTTTCTAGTCTCTGCAATAGAGCAAGGCATGCTCTCAGAGACTGGGAAGTCCAAGGTCCAGGGAACACATCTGGTGACTGTGTTGACTCTCTACAGACACACAGGGTGTCACATGGTGAGAATGGCAAGAGCTCTCTCATGTGCTCCTGATAAAGCCACCGGCCCACACCCGTGATAACTCATTAGTCCATGAGTGGATTAATCCATTGATGAGGACACAGCCCTCACAGTCCAGTCACCTGTCAAAGGCCCCACCTTTCGAATACCGTAATAGGATTTCCCACCCTCTTAACACTGTTACAGTGGGGGCCAAGTTTCCAGTACATGAACTTTGGGGGCACACACTTGACCAATAGCAGGACCAGAATGGATGTGGTGGGCCACTCCGCGGGATGTCCCCAGCTTCTATATCTTAAGCAGGTCAGCGTTCTGATAAGAGGGCGAGCCCGCCCAGGGCTCCCGGCTCTCTGAGACAGGTGGGGCTCTCGCAGCACTCGGCGACTGAACGTGGAGCGGTGAGTGCACATGCGGGTTCCAGGGAAGCCATCTCTGTGTGTGTAACAAAGCCACTCATTTTACTCACTGCTGTGGATGGAATTGTGTCCTCCACAGTCCATGTATTAGAAACCTAACCCCCACTGTGACAGTGTAAAGAGGGTGTGTGAAATCCTATTGTGGTCATTGAAAGGTGGGGCCTTGAAGAGGTGATTAGACATGAGGACCATGCCACAGTGAATGGATTAATCCATTGATGGTTTAATGTGGTCATGGTCAAAGAGAGCTCGTGAGACATTCACACTCACTTTCTCTCTCTCTCTGCTCCTGCCATATCTGCCATGTGATACCCTGCGTTGCTGTAGTCACCACCAGAAAAAGACCCTCACCAGATGTGTTCCCTGGACCTTGGACTTCCCAGCCTCCAAAACTGTAAGCAATAAATACTGTTTTTTACAGATTACCCAGTTTCTGATATTTCTGTTACAAGCAACAGAAGCAGACTAATACACATACCCTCTACTTGATGCAACAAGAGCCTGGCTCCCCAGGGTCAGCACCTTGTATTTGCGTGTGCGTGTGTGTGTGTGTGTGTGCATGCATTGTATATATGCATTGTGTGGTGTACTGTGGTGTGTGTGCATGTGCATGGGTGTGTGGTATATGTAAACGTGTGAGTTGTGTGGTGGGTGTGTGAGCATGTGGCTGTGTGCATGTGTGGTAAGTTTGGGTGCATGTGATGTATACACGTGTGTGTGTGTGTGTGGTGTGTGGAATGTGTGGAATGTGTAGTGTGTAAGTATGTGTGTGTGCTGTGGATGTACATGTGTGTTGGGCATGTGATGTGTGTGCTGTGCATATGAGGGTGAATGGGCACGTGTGTTAGTGTGGTGTGTGTCAGTGAATGCGTGGTGTTTGTATGTGGGGGTGTGCATGTGTGGTAGGTGTGCTTGTGTGTGGTGCATGTGATGTGTGTGCACGTGTGTGCATGCATGCATGTATGTGGGGGGAAGGAGGGGTTCGCACCATGCTGGGCCTGGCAGTGTGGCACCCATGTCGTCTGGTGGAATGTACCTGCCCACTGTCCATATCACTCTTGGTTCCTGCCTAGCCTGTGGCTGACTCCTGTCATTAATGTAGATTGCTATGATCAAGAACACAGCCACCTCGGGGTATTCCACTGCATAGTCAGCAACAGATACACCAGGACACACGCGTACCCAGACAGAAATCCCCTTTGAATGTGATCTTTATCCTTGAAGACAACCATGGAAGTGTTCTTGGAGATGAATTTGGGCCTGAGACTCTTCGTGCAGCCCCTGCCTGTTGGGCCTCCCACCCCCTTCTCCTACCTCCCTCTGTAGGTCTGGGCCCAGTGGGCTCACATCCAGCACTGATGGGAACACCCACCCCAGGAAAAGGGACTTCGCCAGCTTCATCTCAGGGGATGCTATTTACAGGTGTTGTTTCCCTTTTACAGGAAGGCTGGCGAGGTGCTCTGGGAAATATAGTTTGCAGACATCTAGCCCCAGCAGCACGGAACAGTGTACAGGGTGCAGGTGACAGCCTGCAGGCAAGTGACAAGTGCACCACTGAAGAGTCACCCAAGAAGAGGAAGGAGTGGAAAACCCTCTGCAGCCCGACCTCCATCAAACAGCCGCCTGTTGTCAGCTTTGAGTAAGACGTGTTCCCCAGAAGCTTCGACTCCAGACAGATCTCCTGGTAATAGGGACTGGGCCCTCCAACCACTGGGCGCAGCTGGGAAACTCAGAGATGTCCTCAGTGGCCACATCTCCAGACACCACTGCTACAAAGTAATTATAATAGCGATTTATTGAGCATGTGCTGTGCTCTCCAAAAACAACATGGTGTGGAATGCCCACGGCCACCTTGTGAATGAGGTGCCGTCACCATCAGATGACAAAGCAGAGTCCCAGGGACACTGATCAGTTCTCTCCAGGCCCACATTTGGAAAGTGGCAGCATCAGGGTGTTTTCAGCCACAAGTAAAAAGCTCAGGTAAAAGCAGAGTAAACAATAGAGGGGTTGTCACTTAATAAGTCTGGAGAGAGGTAGTTCCAGAACGGGTAGTTTGGCAGCTCAAACAGACCATAAAGGACCCATCTTGCCCCTCAACCACCCTCAGCCTGTCAGTGACGCTTTCCCACAAGCTGCATAACGATGACAATGACATTGATGGTGAATCCAGGATGACATGCACATGAGGCAGCAAAGAAGAGGGGACACTTCCTCCCTGGAATCTATTTAGTGGACATAAGCAGGACTCTGGAACCAGACCACTTCGATCTGACTCCAAATGCCTCATCTGTAAGACAGACGTACGACGGGCACCTACTTCACAGGGTGGTTGTGAGATCACAAGGGCTAATTCATGGGTAGCATTTGGAGGGGCAGCTGGCACACAGTAAGCACCATACAAAGATCTGCCTGTGTGACTATCACCATGGCCCAGCAGACTCCCCTAACAGCCCACTGCCAGAACGGCTTTTCTGCCCTCCCTGGCACATTCACTGGTGAGATGGCTGGGGCCAGGGCCCCTAGAGGCAGAGTCTGGACAGGACTCAGGCAAGGGATTATGGAGGGCGGATCCGGAGGAGAGGAGGCAGGCGGCAGGGCAGGCAGGAGGGGAAGGCTGGGACCTAGCCGCGGCTCCACCGCACGGGAGCTCTGAAGTGTGAACCACACACGGGGTTGGTGCCGCCCAAGGGGAGGGCTGGTCTTTTGTGCCCCACATCAGTCCCTCATCAGCTGCAAGCTGGCCCCCATGGGTGGACTAACCTGGTGGGGCGGGTCCCCACGCAGCTGAGGGCAGTCGACTCCCAACAGCGGGGTGTGCCGGGGGGGGGGGGGGGGGGGGGGGGGGGGGGG